TCCTACACCACAAAATATTCAGCCTTCTTATCCGTACACTCCAACCACACAACCCTTTCATTCTGATTCTTACTATCCTTCATCACATTACCCTTGGGTAAGCGTAAGACGAGGCTCCATTCTTGAATTTATGCTTCTAAATAAAACGCCTGAGGAAATATCTGAATGTTTTAAGGATAGCATTTGTTCCTTCTGTGGAGGAGATCACCATTTATGTCTTTGCCCCATCAAACCTCTATATGACCATCCTTTCCGGGAAACTGCATACCCCACTTCTTCCTCCCCACAATTTACGAACACAAATGTTTCAGTCACTCCTACGTCTTTGCCGAGCTATGAGCCACAAGATTCAGACGACGAATTGGAAGAGATAATTTCAGAGAAGCTGTCTGACCTGGAAGAGACACTAAAGAAATTGATGCAAGTGTCCGATGCAAGTATGCAGAACATGGAGAATCAATTGGGGCAGATTGCAAAGGCTTTATCTGAGGAGTCCGGGAGATCCCATCCTAGCGACACAAAAGCCCAACCTGAGCAGACCAATAGGGATGATCATGTGAGTGAGTCGGACTGCGAAGGTGGGAATATGATGGATGATACACTTCCTGATACCTTTGAAGACCCTCCTATGTTTGAAGATGAAGAAGAAGATAATCGTGTCAGGTTGTTTTTCCAAGAATACAGAAAAAAGTTTGAAACGGTACAAGATGTAACTGATGAAGTCACAAATCACTATGATCTTCATACAGAAACCCCTCAGCCGTTCGATTTATCATTAGTCTCAACACCTGAGGAGGGCAAGGAGAAGATCAGTCATGATGATGGTGCTACTGAGGTAGGTTTGGGTATTGAAGTTGAGTTAGGAAAAGATGATTACATGCTCCGAGAGAGTGAGTGTGAGTTACATGATGTTCATAATGACGAAGTCCCGCTCCACAAGCAAGAATTCCCCTCTTGTACTCATGCACCGGTCCACTCTTACGTGGTTTCAGATATGGACTTCTTTGATTCACTCCTTGATGACGAAATTCATTTTTATGTGGAGAATGACAACATCATCCGGGAAGTTATTGATAAGAACGATGTTAACGAGAGTTGGGATGCCTTCATGGGGAGTGATATAGAGTCCAGAGGAGAGGTTGTGAATTTTCATGATATTTGTGAGGAGGAAGAAGACTTTTCTATGGTGCAGTTTGATTACGGTGTTGCTCCTACTCCTTGCTTGGAAACATGTTTTGAGCTTCCGGTGATGCCTAGAGTAATCAAAGTTTTCACTCATGTTTCCTATCCACCTGAAGAGGATGAGAGTTTCATACTTCACTTCTGTGCTGATGAGGGTTATGAAGACCATGTGCTGCCTTCGTGGGCTGACGAATTTAAAGATCTGCGCCACCTAATGACATTTTTTGAGAGGAAGCTGGAGACGTTGACTATAAGTGCACCACTACAGTCTTTGCTATTGGAGAGCCAATGGGGTAGTTATGTCGGGCAAACGACGTTAAAAATAGCGCTTCTCGGGAGGCAACACGAGCTTTTTTTTTCTGCTTTTTTTTCTTTTGCTTTGTTTGTTGTTTGGTTGTTTTGCTTTGTGTTTTTGTTGCAGCTCAGGGGTCTTGTTATAGGGATGATGTGCCGAGGATTACATTGACTGAGTTTAGTTTTGCACCGACCAGCGCCATAGGGAAGTTTCTTTGACTATTTTATTCGTTGTGTAATGTTGACTTGAGTTAATTTTGAGCACGCGTGACCCTTTCCCTTTACCCCCTTGTGCATAGTGCATTTTTGGTCATCGAGGGCGATGCCAAAGTTTAAGTGTGGGGGAGTGAATTGGGCATTCGGGCAGTAGTTGCTACATGTGATTTGTTGGAGTTAGCATGCGCAGGTGTTAGTTGTATATTCACAGGAAATTCATGTCAAATTTTTGAAAATTTTTCTTTAAACTGTGTCTTTGTGAGCTGGCTAACGTTTTGACTATGCTTTTAGAACATCTTTGAAGTGTTTAGGCTTAAATTGCTTGCATGGTAATCTAGTTGTTGAAAGGATGAAGGCTTTAGTCACCTATTGAATTATTTCAATAATCATCCACCCCACCTGAACAAGACCCTTTAGGGGAAGCCATTTTGAGCCTGACCGTTCTTTGTTTACCCAATTAATTGAGCTCCATATCCAAATGGCCTGTTTCCTTACCCGTGAATATTTCTGACTTAGTCTTGATGTTTAGGGAACTAAGGGATTAATTTGCTAAGTTTAGGGAATTTGTGTAGGAGCCATTCTTGGCACTGTTCCTATGCCCTAAATAGGGTAAGAGCAGTCATCTTTTAGGAATATGATACTTTCGAGGATTGCATTGTAGGGATGGATTCACTTTTAAATTAATGAACTTTAATTGCTATTTTTCCTTGGTGAGGCCGAGATTAGAATGGGGTAATGTCTAGTGAGAATCCGAAAAGGTGAAAAATTAATATAGCTAGACCTCTTACTTTGCGAAAAAGAGAATGGGAGCCCCGGTCAAAAAGCGTAAGATGAGACTTGGGTATCTTTCGAAAGAAACGGCGTTCTCGTGCCAACATGACAAGGAAAACTAAACATAATTAATGAACTTGGAGGCTATTGAAAAATTAGCTTTAGTCCTCCGCGTACTTCAAGTATACGTCAAAGCACAAATGTGCTGAGACGGTTTAGCTTAGTTGTACACCATGTCTACTCTTTGCATAGGTTTAAATGATTATTCCTAAATTGTGGCCTACTGAATTTCTTGTTCCTAAGAATAGCCCTGAAGTTCCTGAATACATTGAGTCTTCGTTAGAATATTCAAATCTCTGAAAAGAAAGGGACTATTATTTTTATCCACGATCCATTCACCACCACCTTCACAAGTCCTTCTGATCAGTAGCTAGTTTATTTGTGTGTGCTGTCACTACTTTGAGGATGTTGTGAATAATTGTGTCAAATAGTTTAGCTTGAGTACAAAGATGTAGTTTAGGGAAGAATTTTCGTGGTTTAGTCTGCTTCTTCTGTGAATATCCCTTTAACTACGTATGCATGCTAATTGTTTTGATTCCGTGTGGTGATTATCGTAAGTCCCGTTGTTCAGTTTGCTTGAGGACAAGCAAAGACTTAAGTGTGGGGGAATTTGATAAGTCCGTATTTTGACACGTATTTGATGCGTGTTGAGATCGGCTTTTGATGATTTTTCTAGTTTTAAGGTATTACAAGTCTCAATTTTAGCTCAAGTTATGTTTACCGGGCATTGGTTCGAGTTTTGTGTTGTTTGTAGTCAAAATCAGGGAATTTGAGCCCGGTACCGGCACTTCAGGAACAATCGGGATGATTTGAGAAGCATTTGAGAATGATTTGATAGCTTTGGAGGTCACCGGAAGATTCACAATGAAGATTTGAAGAAAAAGAGCTCTAGGATTGGCTTCGGGATCAAAAGAAGATGAATGAAGCTTGAAAACGACGATCAGGATGACCTTCTGTCAATCGTTCAAGCTTATCTCTTTGTAGGAACAACCAATGGACACGATTCAAGTTGCATAAGAAAGCCAACTTCAAGAGCTACAAATCATATCAAGACACTTTTTCGAGAATCTGAGAGGAAGAAGATGAAAACAGACGATGAAGTCAGACGATCTCTGTTGCGATTTCAGAAAGCCACCTTCCACCATTTTGATCATATCTCTTGATTGGATGATTCAAATCACATTCGGCAAATTGGGGTAGATAGAGGACTTCATTATCTACAACTTTCATGAAGGAAGTTTTGTCAAATTCGGAAGTTAAGTAGGCACGATCGTGACCTCAAAGTCAGACACGATCGTGCGTGAAGAGAAAACACGGAGGAGTTACTGCCAGCCAGGCACGATCGTGCCTGGAGGGAGGCACGATCGTGCCTGCCCAAAATGCGCGTTTTTGCTCCGGAGGCACGATCGAAGGCACGATCGTGCCTGGCATCGTGTCTGGCTCCGAAAATCCTTATTCAACTCAAATTTCACCCGATTTTTCTATTTAAACAGCCTGTAAACCCCCGTTTTCAAGGGGGGAGCTTAGAGAGAGTGCCTAGCACGAATTTTAGAGGGTTTTTCAGCCTTGTTCATCAATCTTTTGGTATTCTTTGTAAGTTCCACCTTTTTAATTAATGACAATTAATTCTTTTTATTCCAATTCTATTGATTCTTCAATTATGAATTGTGAGTAGTTTTAATTAGGGATTTGGGATTGATGAAGGGGTTAATCATGATGTATGGCTAGATTCTTTTCGGTTTAATTGCATGAATGCCGTTTAATTTGTGTTTGAATAATTTAATTGATATCTTTTGTAACCTAGAATCGCGACTAGAATTACAATTGCTTATAGAATAAATTAAGAGAGATCTAATTTGTTCTAGGACACATTCACACACACTTAATCGTTCGCTAAGAGATTAGTAGCGATTAAGGGGCCGTAAGCTCGCTCGTCTTGGCAATAATTTAGGATCCTGTCGCATGAGAGATCAGCCTGGTCCCCTAAATTATTGTACTCTACGCCGCGAGAGCGGTAAGAACTTAGTAATGATTAGCTAGGTTCAATTAAATTAATTTCATGTAATTAGGCCTGATCTGCCAGAAATCTGATTACCCCGGAATCGATCCCTGTTCCCTTCGTCATTAATTAGAAAGAACCCCCTAGTTTAATTGTTCGCATTAGTTTTATTTTTCCAAACCAACCAATCTCGCACGACGCTTTTATTTTATTTTCTTTTTAATCGCTGAATTTAATTAATTCTTGATTCCCTTTTGTCCGTCCCTGTGGAGACGATACTCGTACTTACACCACTATATTACGATCTATTTTAAGTGCGAGAAAACTCACATCACAACACCAGCCTAATTGCCCCCCCGGGAAGATAGTGAAGCTGGATCCCCGAATAAATTGCTTAAGTATTCGCAACGTAAAGTATAGGAAAAGAAACGCATGAGTTCAAAATTAAACATCTAGTCAAAACACAACGTGTAGAAGTGGAAGACAAGAAAGATGTAAAATACAAAGTCATGGCAGGACATGCCCATCACCATCGACCTCGGGAATCTCATCTAAGACAGTGACCAAGTCTTGGCTGGACTCTTGAGCTCCCTCCAGCTGGCCAGATGCAAGGGGGCCATGTCCTCCGAAGGTCGTGGAAAGAACCAACACCATTCGTTCGAATTACCGAACTCCTCCTCCTGGCGGTAAACTCCTGGGGGCAGGAGGGCTATTGCTGCCTCAGGTTTTTTCATGCGGGCAGGCAGGCCTAGCGCGGATGGATGGAAGTCAGGGCCGAGACCCTCCAACTGATCATACAATTTATGCTGCGTCAAGTACTTGCCGCTCTGAAAAGCGTACAGAACTTCACGAGCATGCCAGTACTCCCCCTCATTGGTCTTCTGCCACTTGTTCACTAAGTCAGATTCCTTCGCTTCCACCATGTCACATATGGTTTTCTGGAATTCGTCGGAGGCCTTGAACTCGAGAATCGCTTTCCTGGCCGCTTGCTTGGCCACTTCTTCACACTCTCTTGCATGCGAGAGCTGCAACTCAGAGAAAGCTTTCTCCCTAGCCTGTAGGGCGGCTCTAACTTCATCAACCTCACGTTGAAGCCTCGCTTGAGAATGGTTGGCAGCCCAAAGTGCCCCGATGGTCTTAGCAAGTCCCTGCAAAACAAAACAAATAAAATGTGATGGGATCGAGGAATCAAATAGAGTATGCCGGAGACATGATCGACCACTCACCTCAACATGGGTCCGAATAGAACCCTTCATGAGAGGCTGAAACCCCTAGGAGGTCATACGTGCGAGGTCACCCGACAGTAAGACTGTTGAAGCATAATCCACGACCGGGAAGCCCTCATGCATAACCGAGGCACTCGGAGATGGGAAGGTGTAAGCAACTGTGTGCTGAGTGTCGCGGCTAACCCGCTCAGCCATCTTCTCACCAGCATCTTCATGCACCTGCCCGGCAGACTGGAATTCTGGGGTGACAGTCGCCCCCTCCAAGACATGCCCCTCTCGGCCCGGGGGGCTCCGTGCCCTTTACCCGCAGCGACCTTGGGGGCCACAGGAGAAATGGCTACGTGAGGCTCCACCTCCTCGTCATCAGACTCATCCAATTCGACCAGTAAGTCGACAATATTCCTCTTCTGCTTCTTCTTCGCTGGTGCGGCAGGCTGAGGCCCAAAGGTAACTGACGTGCACTTGTCGTGAGGTGCACTTAAAGTAATAATACAATACAACACTAAAACGTAGTATAGTGAAGTAAGGTTCGTATCCACAGGGAAAGGAATTCTTTTCTTCTTACAGAAATAAATAAGTAACAATAAGGGGGGTTTATATTTGGTTGATGAACTTTAAATTATATTTAAACACGAAGATGAACGAGTTATGTGGTTTAATTAATGAGAAGAAGACTTGGCTTTGCTTTTATCCACTTAATGAAATGTTCATCGATCCCGGTTATATCTTTAACTATCTTCCTCTCGAATACTCAATCGAGGAGTATATCCAGTTCATCGAGGGTAGTTATTAATAACGAGAAGCGTTCATTAATAAAACTTACTACCGAGTCAATATAGAACAAGCGTCGTATATTAACTTGATAGTAGCAATAAAATCAAGATGAAAACGATTGAGATTGATAACCTCAACACAGGCGGTTTATTGGTTTAATCAATATAATTAATTCCCCTTGGCTTATTAACCATGAGAAGCATGCATTAATAACCCAAGTTTACTACCGTGAAAGGACCGAATTAATAACAAGCGTATTAACCGACCGATTCTAGTAATAATTAATATATAGAACAAGACTAGTTGATACTTTAAGTAATGCTCAATATATTAATATGGAATGAGAATAGGAAGTAATTAATATTCAAGGAAGAAGATTAAAGAAAATAACTCACAACTTACAAATCATTAAGATTCAAAGTAGCAAAACCAAGATGGAAGAGTTTAGCTCCTCATTTGGAGACTAAACATGATGAAAAATATAAAGAAAGAACTTGTCTAAACTGAGCTAAGAAGTATATGTGAATTGGTTGTCATTGTGAAGGAAAGGGGGTGTATTTATAGGCTGTTTGGGAGTGCAGCTTGGGTACTCGATCGAGTATATACAGATACTCGATCGAGTATGTGTAGAAACTCGAATTCGAGGTATACTCGATCGATTTTGGCTTAAAAATCAAAGGTTTAACGCCCCTCTCAGGGTTAAAGGAATCGTTACACTAACTTACTACTTTTAAAAATAACTACAATTAACGGCCGTCTAGTTAAGAAAATAACCCTGATAAAATCTCAAAATAATTAAAATATAACTCTTGATAAGAACTCAATAAAATATAATTATCACCAGCAATTTAAATGTGATAACCACCTGGATCCAGGAATTTATTCAAACATCAAATCCTCAAATAAAATAACTTAATAATAATCTCTTTATTATAATACTGAAATACTGAAACGAAACAATAACTAGCTAGAAGCCGCCAAGGTCGTTCCGTTAACTCATCTTGGCACACGTTCCACTCCCTCGTCATCTTCCTAGGCCTTGGCCTAACCCTTAGTATCTGTACATGCGAAGAAAGAAACTGATAAGCTTTACGCTTAGTAAGTCACTATGGCTCCACAAAAATATCTAGAAGTCTAGGCCAATTTATCAATAGATAAATTTAGGCTATAAGCATGCACTGAACAAATAACTAACACATAACTTCTCAAATACATTCTGAGGGAGATCTTAAAAGGAAAATATTTTCTAAAATAATTTCTCAAAACCGCTGGAGAGATCTCAAAATTTCTTTCTCAAAACATCTCTGTAAAACTTTCTGAAAGAGATCTCAAAAACAACTTTCTGTAAAACTTTCTGAAAGAGATCTCAAAAACGTCTTTCTGTAAAATTTTCTGAAAGAGATCTCAAAAAACAACTTTCTGTAAAACTTTCTAAAAGAGATCTCATTAAACTTTCTGTATAACTCTTTGTGGCTAATGTTACTCTGTGGGCCCGTGATATGTACTCAAAGGCGCTAATCCGACAGCTCAGGGGAGCGACCCACTAAACATATCGGACTCTCTGAAACTGATAACTCTGTAACTCTGTGGGAACTTGTTCCCGAGTACATATCACTTAATCTTTCACTTTAAGTATTAGTTCTTTTTACGGTGACGTTTGGATAAAAACATCATTAAAATCTTGAAATAAAAGTACCGACATAATCTTGACTATGCCAGATAATAAACATAACTTAATACGACAAATAAAATAACTAATCAAAGAATTCACCAAGCTCACATAATAGCAAATAGACTAAAATCATCTATTAAAAATCAACCAGACTTCTTTCTTTTATTTGGTTGAACAAACATGTACAGGTGGTAGTGAACTTACCTGTTAACGGCTGAACTCAAATTACTCAAATAAGTGTGGCACCTTGATAACGTCTCCCGGCAAGCTCTTCCCTTAAATCTTTGATCTTTAATTAAATGTAATAACGTAATAAGAGTTTGATGTGTTCTAAAGTGTAATATACAACCAATTAAAATTTACACTCTTTCACAATATGCTATTTAGGTTAGTGATAGTTTATTCACTTACGGCTCAACATTTACACATAACAACTAACGGGAATTGAATTAACATCATGAAGCAAATTGCTAAATGTAAGTATGGCCGTCAAGAGCTAAAGCTAGTCCTAGAGAAATTTCTGGAAAAATGCATCTATTATGTGTAGGACTCATGATACAGGTGGAATTAAGGATTGACACTGGATTCTCTCTGTGATCAAAATGTTAACCCACCCATAATAATTAGGCTAGATTATAAGCTGTTTCACGGTAAATCAACTTATTTGGGAAAGCAGTAGAAAAGTAGATTTACAAGAAAACTATCAATATTTAACCAAACATCTTATCTTATATCACCTAATTACAAGAAACTGAATTGCAATTGCAGTGGAAAACTAAATAATGGGCGGCGGATTTATAAAAGAAACCTTAAACACAAAATTGTCAATTTGCAAAGCAAGAACCGACCCATCACAGAATTAGTAGAGTTTAAAGCTTTTCTCTGAATGTCGATTCTTAAAATCAATGTCAAAGTATAATAATACACCTGGATCGTAACAAGAGGAAGAAAAATATTTAAACTCACCAGACTTTAGATTGATTCACGGCACAACAAAGAGCAGCGTATGAGTTGAAGGAGGAAAACGAAGTTTTCTAGGGACTGGGAAATAAGAACTGCGGACTGCTGGTAAGGAAGAGAGCCGATCCTCTCAAAGGTTTATGGGTGATTATATATTTCATTTTGCCTTTCTCTAGGGATTTCAGCCATTTATCTGGGCCAAGTTAACTGATTTGGGCCTCTAATTATATTTAAAATAAATGTTTCTAACACCGCTACAAGTATTCTCTCTTTCAAATAAACTAATTAACTTTAAAACATTATTTACTTATTTATTTGAAGTTCTTGGAGCTTACCGATCAACGTTATTTGCCACAAACAAAACATGATAGAACAATAAATCACATTAATCATAAAAGAAACTTATATAACTGACTGAAATAAAAATAAATAAAATAAAAATAACTTCAGTAACTAGCTCACAAAATCGGGGTGTTACAAAGGTATACTCGATCGAGTATATATTCATACTCGGTCGAGTATGTGTAGAAAGTGATATTCGAGCCATACTCGACCGATTTCGGGTTTAAACTCAAAGGCATACTCGATCGGGTATGTCGGTCTACCCGATCGAGTATAGACACTGAATCGTGGTCAAAATCTTCCCGGCATGTTCCTTTGTCTTCGGATCTGATCCGATTTGAAGTTTCAACCTTATACCCGATCGAGTATAGGTAATACTCGACCGAGTATAGACCAAAATCAGGATTTTCCCTTTTTGTCTTGTGATTTGCACCTTCCTTCCACTTGTGGAGTTCACCAACCATCCTTTGAGTGATAGTAGACCTGTTTGAGCTCAGAATAAATCTAATCTAAACAATTTACAAGAATTTAACAAACTAAACTATTACACCAAAAGTGTGTAATTTCCGAAATATTAAACAACCAAAACTAGCTAAAAACATAAACATACACACGGAAATTACAAGTGTATTAGTAACCCTCACCCTCCTCGGAATCTGTGTTACACGGTTTGGGGGAGCTCCATGCTCTTTTTCCTTGGTGGCCGTGGAAGCTACACAAGCGATGAATGGCTGGGCTTCTTCGTCATCGTCATCGGATTCGGCACCGACGATATGCTTCTCAGGCCTATCTGGCACATCTGCAGAAGAAAAATGTGAGGATAAGAAGGGTGAAATACAAAATAGCCAAACCTAAACTGAGGGAGTGACGATCACCTAAGTATGAGCTGATGGAGCGGGGACCGCCTGCAGACAACATATCGATGGATGACTTGAGGTCAGGGGAGAGGGCGACCCGGTCACACTTCCGGAGCCACTCACCCCACTGAAACGGAGGTGACAGAAGGGTGGGGTCGGACACCCAGATCCACCTCTTCTTCCATCGCCTACCTGAGTCAGGGTAACACGGCCGGAATAGCTTGCTCACTGGCCCCTGGGAAACTGAGGCAAAAAAGCTGGAGGCGCGCCACTGGAAGCAACTAAAAAACAAATCGATCGTGGGAGTGAGTGTCACGCCCCGGACCTCCCCGGACACGTCAACAACCCGCCGTACAATACGAATAGTCAACCGCAGTCCAACACATTCATATTATACAAGGCGTCTCGAATATCATTCACACGTAAGCCATCCATAAACAACATAACAAGCAATCGAATACGTAGCGGAAAACATAGTTTGAAAACAAATGCCACACGTGGCTAACATGAGCACGCAGGCTCTATAGTAAAATATTCATGAGCATGTTTATTAATGTTTAAAAACCGAATGGAGGAAGCACGAACCAACTCTTCCCTCCTAGATGATCTCTCGAGCAACGAGCACAGGAAGCAAACTCTAGCCTCAACCTGAAAAATGGTGGTGGGACGCCCCCGAAGGGGTCAGCACTCTATAGGGCTATAAAGTGCTGGTGTGGATGGCATATAATAGATATACAACAAGTATTTCAAACACAAGACCCTCAAATAGGGTGATAATATAATCTAGGCCGTAACCCCAAGTTACCCCTTTTTAAAATATACTTACTTTATATATAATAAGTCAAGTAGTCGGCCCGTAGGCCCAAGGTTTGTTTATCAAACATAGCCCAAAACCCCGTGACCCCTAGTCACAACAATTCATAGGGTTCAACCCTAACACATATGTTTGCATTCTCGAGTCCAACTCGACTACATCACCATGCACCTTAATTAACATAAGATAACTACTCCACCGTGCATTTCTTGAGTCCAACTCAACTACATCACCATGCACAACAATCACCCCATCATGTCTACCCAATGCAATTCTATGAGCACGGCTCAAGTACATCTCCTTACATTGGCATAGACCCCAATTCCTAAGCACTTGCTATGCCTAGAATTGTAATATCAATAATCTATTTTGGGACATCCTTACGGACTGCCCAACCATGGTCTTAGCATCACATTATATCAATTTAGTCACTTGCATCACAATCAAGTTCATCAATTACAATCAAATCCTTAGATTCAATTCTTCAACAATTACAACAATCATTAACTAGTATTTCAATACTATTAAGATTATTCTTATCCATCATATATTCCATTTGTAAAACCCTACATATTTAGAGATATGTAGCAGCAACTTAATCATTCAATGTAATACATAAATAATCATTTATGTATCTACACAATTCACACATGAGTAAAATGCCTATTTCACACAATAGTTCATTTAACTCCATTTTTATCAATACTTTACCAAATCATTTCCCATTTCATTCTTTGGAAAATAGATCAATATTCCATCAATAAGTTATCATCATAATCCATGGAAAACATTATTTAGGCATTTAGGTAATCTCATGCTTAACCTACAAGTTGTAAGCAACTAGATGTCTATCCTCACCTCAAATGAGCTTTAAAACTTTCCTTCTCGATCCAATGACCAAAACCTCGGCCAAGGAAGCTTGAGAACTGATTCCTTGCTTAGAAATGAGTGTCAAACAGCCTCCTCAAAGTGCTAGTTCAACCCTTAATCGTTGGTACGAAAACAGCCCCTAGAATGGGTGTTTTCCGGTTAACTCGTTTCCTAGTTTTTTTTCCAAGTTTTGCTCTAGGATAGTATCTAACCTTTACATCAATAAAATAAATTTATGGGGACATGTTATACACTTGGATTAGTGTACAATGAAAAGAAAGGTTTTGGGGTTAACAACTCACTTTTGAAGAGTAGTTTCGTTTCTGCGAGGTTGTGTTTTGCTCGGACGATATGGAAGCCTTCCACTACTCCGATTTATTCAAACCAGAACTTCACGGATTCCTCGTCTTGAGAGATTTCTTTTGGTATCTTACACGCCTTAATTGGATTGGTATAACTCGAGATATCAACCAAACAGCTTCAGCACTCTCACTGCTCGAGTTTACAGACAACAGTTCATTCCAGCTCGATTGTTTGTATGATAACTCTCTCCTCTCGAACAGAGACCACTCAAATATGAAAATAGACTTCAAAGGCTATCCAAGGACACCTTATACACGTTGTTTGGTCGATTATAACTCCCATAATGAGTGGAGACAAACAGCACACCATTTTGTGCGAAAAAAGGAGATGGTGGCCCAACATTTGATTCCTATCAAGTCTTGTGCAGCTCCTCTCCATGGTGGTCGGCCAAGGTAAGTCTTCTCACCCATTTTTATTTGTCTTGCAGGTACTAAATTACTAATATCATGTGGAGTGGTTCCCCATTGATCCCAATTATTTTGGGGTCCAAAATATCTATCAATACTTCCAAAAATGGGAAGATGGGTTCTATTGTTTTATCTTTTGTCAAAGGTGTCTTTTTGTACTCATCCTAACTTATTTAGAACAAGTCAACTTCCTACATCACATTATTGATCTCCAATATGTGTAGGCTCATCTCAATAATTTACTTGATGGATATTATAGAAGGAAAAATCCTACTCCCATTATTTAACTCAATAATGTCAAAGATGGGATCATAGGCATTTGTATTCACCACAAATCATCTTATCACTTATTTCGACATTTGTCATCCATATTATTGGACTACCATCCGTGTGGGTCACCCCCGAGTGGGCCTACGACGCCATTCTCGAATACTTGCTATTTTAGCGGGTTGAGCCCAAAATAATGTCTGGGCCGCCCGCCCTTCCTCAACTTGTCTTGAAACGTTATGTATCACTATTTAGATAATGTTAGGCTCTTTTATTTATTAATAAGGCCCAAACGAGTATTCGCAAGCCCGACACTAATATACGAGTTCGAACAGTATAATAATCGATCATTAATTACGTAAAACATCAATCATTTACAATTGTTTTGGGAATCAGAAATTCAATACATAAACTTTGAATTTTTAAATTGAATTTTCAAGGACGTTCGGGTGCGGTGTCACAGTGAGGCCCACATCCTCACATCGCGCCACAAAAGCTGCGACGAACATATGAGCCGCCGGAGCCAGTTGGCCCGGTGCCACACCCAAGAAGTGAAGAAATCGAACCTGTTAGTACCCAACGATTGATAGATTTTGATGATGCCACTATACCAATAAATGAACACCTCCACCGCCTAATAAGTCATGACTAATAAAATGTATCAAATAAAGTATACTGGAAACTTAAAATACATCTAGGTAATTTTTGTTACCTTAAAAAGGACATTAAAATCCTACCAGTATAACTTTATTTTGATACACAAATAAAACTAAGAAGTGGGAAGTGTTGAACAAATGCTTCAAATAAACTTTACTGGAAATTCACCAGGGTAAGTGTTTTTACCTCCAGTACATAGTTTACTTGGTGCACAGTGACATGCAGGGATAAGCCGTATAACAAAGGCGTAAGGCTAAAAAGCATTTAATGCAAGAAATTGTACATGGGTCCCAAAAGGTGATGATGATACACAAGAAGTGATCTCTCGAAGAAGAACTGATCGGCAAGAATTATCTCCTTATCTTGCTCCAACACATGAAGACAAAGAGTACAACTCTTTCAGCGACTACGATCAACTCCTCTCAACCAACGGAGGAGATTGATCTGCTCAAAAGGCCTATAAAATAGGCAGAAGCATGAGTGATAAAATCAAGTTTTTGAGTCATCTAAGTAGAGTATTCACTTCAAACATCCAAGAGATATCTAGCAAAAGAGAAAGTGCATGTTAAACTTTGCTCTCTGCTTAGACTCATGCTTCACTAAGCTCTTAGACTAAGATCATACACGACTACACTTTTAGAGCTTAGTTTCTAGTTGGAGGATAGAAATTTTCTTGTAAACAAATTGTTGTAAACACTTAGGAGAACAGTTGTTCGGATCCTAAAGTGTGGTTAGATAGATAGAGTACCTTTTGATCCCCACTGCATCAATCGAGAAAAGTCTAAGGACTGAGTAACTTTGAGTGGTGTTATACTCATCGTGAAAAACCTTCAATCTAGGCCAGAGTTGTCAAGGCTAGATTGGCACTAATTGTATTGGGCTGAATACTTTAGTGGAAATCCATCTGAAATAGGGTGGGACTGGATGTAGGAGGATTACACCACCTCTGAACCAGGATATATCGTGTGTTGATTTACTTTCATACATACAGAAGCACACACCAAACACATCTCACTAAAGGATTGTAGTTTGCCAGCAGCATCCTAAGCAGTAGTCTTCATCGACTGTACTGCTTAGCCTACTGCTTAATAGCTCACTCTCCTTGAGAGTATTTTCCACTAGAAGTTATCTTACACTCAGAAGGTGCCTCAGCAGTACCCTGGTCTTCACCCTCCTGCTAAGCCCACTGCCCATTTATATGTGTCTTTCCGAACGCCATAACAAGCCAGAACAAAAAGCCATCCAAAAGTCATCCTGTTCTTAACAGTTGCCTCAGCAGTAACCTGCCCACCAGCCAACTGCCAATTCAGCAGTTGCCTGCCAGTCAGCAAACTGCCTGTGCAGCAGTAGACTAAGCAGTTATCTGCTCACCAGTCTACTGCCAAGCCTACTTCCTCTTGTCACCAGTCTAAACATCATCTAAACTAGAAAGTTGTCTTACACCAAGTATAAAGAGGTTAAAGACTTCCGCTGTGCATCTATTAATCTCTTAAAAGATTATAGATCAACTCTTCTAGAGGGAAAACTTCACAAAGTTGAAAAAGATTTTAAAAGTCTATTCACCCCCCCCCCCCTCTAGACTTTTACCTCTATCCGGGACCATCAAGTGGTATCAGAGCAGGTTGTTCCTAGAGTCAGTTTCTGACTATTTTTGAACTAAAGATCCAAATCCACTTTTATCCCAAACACTTTCTAAAAATGGACAGTCAGTTAGCCAAGAATCTTCTGTTCAACTTGAACAAATTTGATGACTGGAAAATACGGATGAAAGCACACCTCAGTGCCTTACATGATGAGATGATTGAAGTAATTACTGATGGACCTATCAAAATAATAAAGGTCATCACATCCAGAACCATAGAAGGGACAGATGATGTGTACATTCCAAAACCTAAAATGGAATGGACAACTGAGGACAGGAAGAGGAACAATCTTGATAACATTGCCAAGGACATTCTCTTCAAATCTGTTGATGAATCTATATTTCCCAGAATCAGGAAATGCGAAACTGCCAAAGATGTCTGGGATGAGCTAACAAAGATTGGAGCAGGGGATGAACAGGAGAAGGACAATAAACTGACCATTGCCCTAAAGAAATTTGAGGATTTCAAAATGCTGTCGTCTGAATCTATCCATGAGATGGAATCCAGATTCCTGAAGATTGTGGCAGAGGTCTCTGACCTTGGGAAAGAACTTTCTCAAAAAGAAATTTCCCTTAAAATCTTGAGAGGCCTGCCATCAAAATGGGACATGAAGGTAACTGCTATGAGAGATAGTAGAGATCTCAGAACTTTGTCAACTGACAAACTCTTCAGTGATCTCAAGGCCTATGAATTTGAAATAAAGGAAATCAAGGAAGAGAAGGAAGATGAATACAAGACACTAGCCCTAGTGTCTGAGCCAAGCACTTTAAAATCTGCTAAAAAATCCCTCAATAATCTCCTCACTGACGAGCAGTTTGCTATGTTTGTGAGGAAATTTAAAAGATTCATAAAGAAGGAGGGCACTGTTCCAAGGAGGTCATACAATCAGCCACCCAGGAGACAAGGAAGACCTCAATCAAGTGAGGACACTATTCTATGCTACAACTGTAGACAGCCAGGACATTACAAGAATGAGTGTCCTTTACCACTGGCTCAAAAGTATCAGGGGCAACAGGCAACTGCTCGAAAAGGAGAATACAAAAAGGACTTCAAGGGCAAGAGACAAGCCTTTGTAAGTGAAAAGAGAAAGGACGAATCCCAAAGTGATGATGAGAGCAGCTCAAGTGATGAAAGCTCCTCATCTGGAGACTCAGAGGAGGCACTACTATGCCTGGGATCCTGGCAGACGGCTGAAGAAAGGAGCAGATGGCTCAGCGAAGATGATGAAAACTGCTCCAACAACTGCCTAATGGCCAAAGACCACTACAATGATGTTGAGGAAGGTGCTGGAGCAGTTGACTCACAAACATGGTACATAGATTCAGGCTGCTCCAGGCACATGACAGGCAGCAGACGGCTCCTGTCCAACTTTATGGCAAGAGAAGGACCCAAAGTTGCTTTTGGGAATGTGGAAAAACAAGGAGAAACCAAAGGAGCTGGAGACCTATCCATCAATGGGCTTACAATCCAAAACATATCTTATGTTAAAGGATTAAAGTTCAATCTCATAAGCACAAGCCAGCTCTGTGACAATGGCTATAATGTTACATTCTCCAAAGACATCTGTTTGATTAGAGATGTCAAAAATGACAAAATTGTGCTCACTGGTAGAAGGAAGAAGGACATGTACACTGTTGATTGGAGCTCAGCAAAGGAAGGGATCTGCTTGGTAACAAAGGCAGACTCAAATTTGAGTTGGGAATGGCACAACAAATTAAGCCATCTCAACTTCAAAACAATCAACAAATTGTCCAGAAAAGGATTGGTGAAAGGTCGTCCTGAGATCAACTTCAAAAGGGACCATCTCTGTGATGCTTGCCAAAAAGGGAAACAAACCAAGGTATCATTCAAATCAAAGGAACTGGAATCATCAACTAGGCCCTTAAGCCTACTACACCTTGACTTATTTGGACCAGTTGAACCAACAAGTATAAGTGGTAAAAGATACACCCTGGTGATAGTTGATGATTACTCTAGATACACTTGGACCATATTCCTAAAGAAAAAGAATGAAACAGAGAAGAAACTTCCAGAACTGATGAAACTAATTCAAAATGAGAAAAGTCTCTCAATCCAGAAGATCCGATCAGACAGAGGTACTGAATTCCTCAACTCTATAGTAGTTCAGTACTGTAAAGAAAATGGAATCCATCACCAAACTTCAGCTGCAAGAACACCTCAACAAAATGGTGTTGCTGAAAGAAGAAACAGGACTCTCAAGGAAGCCGGAAGGACAATCTTAGAAGCAG